TTTAATCAGGAGATACCTTGCCCTCAGACAGCTCTGCCACATATACCTTGCCCAAATAAGAGCTTCTGATCAGATTTTCTTCTCCAAAATAATTGGTATACTGCTGAAGCGAAGCAACAGAAAAGGATGTCACAGAAGCTGGGAGAGTACAATTTCTTTTTAGAGACATTGCTTTGTCAAAAGAAATATAATCTTTTTCTTTGTACAAGGGGGCAATGGGTTTTGCAGCTACTTTTTCAGCCATAATGGGCCTCAGCCCTGCAGAAGTTTCAATCATATGAGCTTCATGTTCCTTTTGTTTCCGGAGAGTGTTCCCATAAACTACCAGAAACATTTGCAGATCCACAAAAAAAAAGAAAAAGGAAAAAAAACACAGATGAGTAATTAAAAAGAGTACAAAGAAAGATAAAACATGTTAAACCAGATGGGTTAGACATTCAGCAAATCAATGAACTTACAATCTTCTTTCTTGTAATTTGATGCAGCCAAATCAGTAGTGCTTGAAGGGTGCTTGGTCATTTTAGGTGCCATTTTTTTATGACAATTGGGAATGAGCTCGCGCTTGAGGTGTCGTTCTTGCAACTTCAATGTACAAAACAGAGCAAGGAGAACTGCAATTATAACTAGTACCACAGCAACAACATAAGCAATGACCCTCATGGTTGAATTTTTTCTAACAGTCGAGCTTGTTCCACCATGGTGAGTAGGTGCACCATGGCGAACGGGTGCATCAGAATAAGGGGAAGGAACAGGTGCAACTAAGGAAGGAAATGCCTGAACTGGTGCTGGTTCTGGAGCAACTGTTGTATTAAACGGATTTCCGTTCGATCTGCACATCATATGAAATTGCTTCTGAATCATAATCATATAAACAAGGCAGAAATTACTAATTTCCTATGCCAGTATGGAAAGATAATCAAGCCAAATCATGGCACTTACTTGAAATTTGGAATATACCAGAGCTTCTCTGGAACAGGTCCAGAAAACAGATTATTCTCAATGTCCCTGTTTAATAGCAGACAGGAAGCATTCTGGTAAGCTAAAAGAAACAAATTTGTGGAAACTGGTGATTAAAAACTTGAAGAAAAAGAGGTTGAACAATGCACAAAAAAAGGATAAATAGCAGGTAGAGGAAATACAAATCCATCAGGGGTAGATCTTGCAAAACATCAAGGGTTCCAGATATATGATTATCCTGTATATGTCTGCATATAGAAAATGATACTCAACCTTCTTGAATCTAAAGGAAAAGAGAGAAGAAAAAAAAATCAAAGCATCGAATAACTTACAAGGTAGTCAGCGATGATAAGCTGGTGATTGAGGGTGGCAAAGGACCACTCAAATTGTTAGAAGAAACATCCCTGAGTTTTTACACCAAATTGCACAGATGGAAACTCAGATATAAAAGAAAAGGAAAAAGTACCTTGGAAATGTAAAAGATATAATAAAAATAGAACTCGAGGTATAAAAAGTGATTACAAATTCACTAGACCAGTAAGGGACTGGAAAGCATCAGGCAGTTCTCCATTTAAGAAGTTTTCATTGAGTGACCTGAAAATGGAGTGGGGATTTACAAGTTCAAAAATCATTTTCAATAGATAAAATGTGAAAGGACAATTCTGAATTGTGGAGCGGAATTACATGTCAGAAAGGAGAGTTAAATCTGCCAAAGAACTTGGAATCCTTCCCGTGAGTTGGTTGGATGACAGAAAACTAACAGAATTGAAGAATTCTCACTATCAAAGCTAATATCAATATGAAAATGGGGGTATCATAAGCTGCAAACAGGTCAATTCAATAACAAATAAAACATACAATTGCCTTAGAGTAACTGGCAAATTTGTTGGAATGCTTCCACCAATATGGTTATTGCTAAAATCTCTGCACCAAAATGAGATATATGATGAAAACAGCACTAATTTCATCGAAAAAAAATGAAGGAATTCTAAACGAGCATGAATTTACAAGTCTGAACAATTTCAAGGCATGCAAAGAAACAAATTCATCCAGTGCTAAGAGTAAACACTTACAATGTAATAATAGAAGTAAAATTTCCAAGCATATCACCTAATTCTCCTCCAAGATTTGCATCATTGATAACTCTGTCAATATAAAAAACGAAGCAATTACCATTGTAGTTTCAAACATTATACAGGAATATCAGCAATAATTACAGAAAATTACTGTACATTGCAGTTATATTTGGCCCAACACATTGGACGCCTTGCCATCCTTGAAGGCAAGGATCCCCTCCGAAAAGGGTCCATCCAGGAAGAAGGGGATACCCAAATGCCGCATGCAAGCTACTAATAGCATAGACTGTGAGCAAACAAGTTAAAATATTAGCTGAACTAGTAATTTTGGAGTCCCCTTAGCACAAAAAAGAAAGTTTCAAATAGCATGCTTCTTCAGAACATTTGAAATATAAGAAAAAAAAATCATTAGCATAACGCGGATCTTAGAAAGACATCCAGCACTCTTATTGAACAAAACGTGTAAAATGCATACAACAACAACAACATCAAGACTTTGTCCCAGGATTGGCTACATGAATCCTTTTTCGTCATTATGTCATGCTAAAAATTAAATTCTTATTTAAATCTAATAAAGAAAGATCATTTCTAATACTTTCTAATCAAGTCTTTTTAGATCTACCTCTACCTTTCTTAACATAAGTCAAATCTAATACCCCAACTTTCCTAACCGGGTCATCGGAAGGCCTCCGTTAATGCATATCACTTCAAAATTTAAAATTTAAAATTTCTATATATCATAGAACTAAATTGATATAGTAAAACGCAACGTTACAATTGCTTACCGTTATGAATAAGAGCATGCCGGGAGATGGATTGATGAGGATGCAAATATAATATGTTCTATCACCACACAACCTAAACAAACATACTAATAACTTTCATATCTGTACGAAAAAAATGAATCTATATTTTTGTCCTCCAAGTAGGACTTCTCTCAGTAGAAAGTGTTTGGTGCTGCCTAACAATTTCTGTACAGATCTTGGCATTTGTGTAATCCCAATGCAAACCAACCATGCCCCACATTTATATATATGCGCTTTAGAAAGGCTTAAATATAAAATAGCTTAAAATATGGATAAGAGACACCCTCATTTGCTCTTCCCCCTTTATCTTCAACCTTCTCTCGCTTTTATAGTCTGGCTACATCATTGCCTTGGGACTAGTAAATCAAGATTATGAGAGATGATGACTTAAAGCCAAACTAAGAAAAAGTCTCCTATACAAAGTAAATGATAAAATTCCACGCAGAAAACCTGGGAAAAGCAAGAGTAAAAAATTTTGTACATAGAAACAAAAACAAGCAGTCAAATGGATACAACAAGAACCAAATGGATAGTGGGAGTCCAGTGAAGGTTGGAAAGAGATAGATGAACTAAAGGGCAGTGTTCCAAATAAAACAATGGACTAAAGTCCGAGAAGTTTTCTATCAATATCAACAACATCCAGTCTTTATCCCACTACGTGGGCTACCTGAGGTCAGCTACATGAATCCTTTTTCTCCATTGTGTCATGTTAAGAGTCATATTCTCATTTAGATCTAATAAAAAATGTCATTCCTAATATTTTCTAACCAAGTCTTTTTAGGTCTACCTCTACCTCTCTTAACATAGGCCAAATCCGAGTAGTGTAGTATCAATTAAAAAAATATTTAACCTTCAAATACATAATTTGAGACAATCAGTTGTCACAATAAATTCATTTTTTGAAACAAATATAATTTCATCTAAATAAATTAGGTTGCTTGAAACAAATTATAAACTCAACTCAATGAATCCCTCAGGCTGTGACAGAATAATAAGTCTCAATGAATATTTTAAATGATTTTTATATCTAAAACACAGATTTGTGGATATGATGAATTATTTATTTCTAGGAATTTGAGGTAAGTAGGATGCCTCCATTATATGCAAATATTAAAAACTATCATTTAAATTCAAATATTAGAATTTATTATTATTAAATCAAATTAAGCATACACCTTTTAATCGGAATGTTGAATGTAGCTTTGGTTTTTATTTAAGTATAGAAATCTATCCCATATGTTTTATTAAATGAAAGTAGGCCAATTATAGATAATAAAGGCATAAGGCCGATTGCAAATAAGTAAGCACAAGATTAGTTATAAATAAGAAGAGTACAAAACTATTTATTAATTGAATTCTATGTAGGAAATTCAGCGAATATTTAATTTAAAGAAAGTCAAAAACCAAAAATGTTAGCTTTGGTTGTAAGTGAGAATATTAAAAATATATATGACCCAGAATAACTAATGAGAAAATACTATGGTTTTCAAATGTAATAATAGATTGATTTATATAGATAGCAATGCTAAAATTTTATGAGCTTTGAATAGTAATAATAATAAAAAAAAAATTAAACACCCAAATTTTCAACCAAAATTCACAACCGTCCAGATCCATGCAACCCTTACTTCTTGGAATGCATGCATAGGAATCCTTGGTTTCTAAGCAAGTGTTCATTTGTTATATGCATGCGAGTATTGGCTAAGGTGAGATAACTCATGTTTCATCATCTTCTTCAATGCTTAGTTCATGTGCACCGACGATTAGGCATTCTTGGAGGAATGGTAGATTAGAGACTATGATGCACAGACACGGACACGGCGACACAGATACGACACGACACGGACACGGGACACGTCAGTTATTGAAAATATAGGACACGGACACGGGTTGGACACGGTATTATAATTTTTATATTTAAAAAACAGTGTATAAAAATTAAATAAATATAATTTTAAAAATAATTTGAAAATAATAAGTCATTTAACTAGAATTTGTGCTTAAAATGATTACTATTAGGATGCTGAAAGTCAGGCGTCGATGTTGATTATCAGTCCGAGAGAGGAGATGAAAATACCTTCACTGCCAAAAAGAAATGAAAATGAGAATATTCGATGATTGGGTATTAAGTGCGGACATTTATTTGGTGTTGTGGATAGAAAATAAGAAATTTAGTTTAAATCCTTTCAAATACAAGAAATTATATTTAAAAAATTCATAAAATATTTAAGATACGCGTGTCGGACACGCATGTCCAATTTGTATTTAATATTTTTTAATCGGACACGTTTTCGGTGTGTCTGACACGTGTCGGAGGAGTGTCGGACGAGTGTCGTGTCGGATACGGTGTCGGACACTGCACGCCTCTTTGAGAAGAAGTGTCGGTGCATCATAGATTAGAGATTTAGACAAACAATTTTGGCTAGTGTCTTGTGGTGCAAGCAAGGAGAAGATATTTAGGAGGTAATCTTTGGGCTTTATCTTTGTTAAGTGTAGGTTTACTTAGATCTGAGAAGGGATTATTAGTGTCCTAGTATTGTGTACACCATGTTAGTGACCTCTATGTTTGAAGGATCGGATTCTCTCTCCTTCTCATAGACATAGACTTGATTGAAGTTGAACCACATAAATCTTAGTATCTTTACCTCTGTGTTTAATTTGATTATGTTTATTTATGGCCATCATATTCTCTCTTAGTGACCCTTCCACATCTTTCTTTTTTTGTTTTATCTTTATTGCATGCTAGAGAATTCATAGGTTTTATTTTGTCTCTAGCAAATTGATTTCAATAACATCCTATGGCATTCGTTCTATGCATAAGACTAGGTAAAGGGAACTCAATTGAGAATATTAATTCACCCCTTCCAACATTCACCACTTACATAAAAAATATTAGTAATCTTATATCCATAGACACAAGGTACTAAAACCATTGCAAAATGAAGGCTTTTCAAATTAGAGGAATTCATGGAAATGAGATTCTCGAAAGTGCATATAACAAAAAGAACCGTAACCACCACTCATCTCCACATACCATACAAACCATCACAAATATATGATTGCCTTAACAATCAATTTTTGAGAAGTCATAATATAAGAGTTGAACATGAAAAAGATGAGAAAGTTCCTAGAAGTTTATTATCATGCAAGCCATTATCCCAACATAACAAGTAAACATCAATCTATCGTGACCACAAAACAACATCACTTTCAGGTTTACATGGATCTAGGAAGTAAAACAATAGAAGCAGATGTTGTAATTTACCATCTTCTTCACATGTGTATCCTGAAGGAAATGGTATCGCAACAACCATGACCAAGCTAAAAGCAAAAATTGACATCATCCACAGTTTCAAGTCAACCATTTTCCAAGACTTCCTTGTATATCAACACAGCAGATGTACCTATCCAGTGTTTTACAAGTTAAACAAATAATTTTAAGCAATGACAGATATCACTGAGACTACAGTATATTAATGAAATAGAGAAGCAAGCAAAATATGGAGGAAATAAAGAATAGTTAAAGCTTTAAATGAGTGTTCATTTGTTAGTGTTTCATTATTGCTTTGTGGCAGCAAAAACTGCCCCAAACACTTGTTTGGGAAAAAATTGTTGGCCTGCTTTTAAAAACATGTGCTTCGGTTTTCTTAAAACAGCTTCTCAACTACTTTACGAGAAGTCGAAGCCCAATGGTAGGAGTCCTTGAAGCCATAATAGGATATGGCATCTAGATATGTCGAAAGGAAAAATAAATAGGAAAAGAAATTGAAAAATCAAGATATATCTTACAGAGTATTCGGACATATCCCCCCCCCACACACACAAAAAAAAACTTTGGAGTTTGGCAGTTAACATAACTACGAAATTACCAACTTTTTTATGGTTTTAAATTCACTTTAAGATATTTAAAATAAACAAAGAAATAAGATAATCATTAGAACAACTTGCCAGAGAGCTTGTTCAAAAGCTTCCAACCACCCTTCCTTTAGATACTCCTCTTTTATAGCCGTGTTAAGGGGATGACTAAAGTAAATCAATAATTTTCCTCTACTTGATACAACCATATCAATTCTACCTCTTTAAATAGAAATCTTTCTCCCACATCAATAATTTTCTTCTTCCTTTAATAACTTCATTCTCCTACTGATTTGGGTTCTGTAAAGGAGTGTAAGGTTACATAGAATGCCGCTCTCAGCTTTCTACAGAGGAAGACCTTCAATCGCTCCTTTTTCTGGCTTTCATTTCCCAACTAATTTAATTTACTTCATAATAATTCATATACTATAAACATTCCCATTGACAATCGCGACTTATATTTCCAACTATATTTTACTTTTCTTACGAAATCTTTTCTTTTGTTAAAAAAAAATCCAACATTTTCTTTACGGCACCAGAAGATAGAAAAACTTTTAACATAAGAAAAAGGAAAAAATGAAAAACCAAAATAACAAAACACTAGCAAGGAAGGTAACCCTAAACTTCAGGAGATGAGCATTCCCAGCATAATTAGTACCAACTATAGCATTCCTAAGAACCAAATAGCCTCGTAGACATTAAATGTTAACAAAACCTGCGAATCAAATCCCAAAAATCTCACCTTTACTCAAACTCAGAGGAGCCTCAAGCTTCCTTCAACCTTCAGTTGCGGTACGAGAGCAGCAGAAATTAACCAGAGTAAGAAACGAAAAGGGCGAGAGCTCGGAGATCGAGAGAGAGGGAGGAGGAAAGACGGGAGACGGTGGGAGAGGAAGAGAGCTTTTTCTATTCCACTCTGTATTAGTTTGATAATTGATATAAATTACTCTAAATTCTCAGTAGCCCGTTGCTCTATGTCGGATTTCTTTTGAATTTGCAGCTCTGGAAGAACCTGGAAAACAGACCAAGAAACGAACCAGATAGCGTGGCAAGCTACTACTGGTTGACGTGCGGGGTCACAGAGTTCGGATTTATAGCATTTATTAGGTTTGTTAGGACCAACCTTTAGTGAAATGCTTTAGATTCAAATGAATTCCCCACAAAAAAAATTATAAAAAAAAGATTTAAAAGAGTAATCAATCGGGTAAAGCATATCCTGAGATTTAATGCTATTATTTGGTTTTTTTGTTTTTTAGGTATAAATTATACCCCCTCTTTCAATGCGCAAAATTCTATTTGACAAATTTATAAGAATTTTTTTTATAAAGAAACAAATTTAATAACGGAATTTAAAAGGGTTATTTTCATAAAAACTTCTTGATAATAATAATACCATTTATTAAAAAATAAATTGTTAACAATTTTAAATTTTAACATATAAATAATGAAAATTTCTTTAATTCTAAAATTTATTGGCATTCTATACATACTCAATATAGCTATATTCACGAATCTGAATTCTATCTAATAAGTCAGTAAACTTTGAACCGTGCATTATCTAAAACTCATTTGAAAGTCGCTCAAAATCTCAATCATTATTATCGCTTAAGAGATTAGCTTTCAATTTGTAACAATTAAACTAAGTCCAGGGATACTACAAGTCTTGCACTAACTATGAGTATTTACCAATTTACTTAGCGTACTTGCCTAGAGTACTCATTAATTGCTAAGAAGTTTTGGCCTAGAGAATTCTCCAAATATAATTCAAAATGCTTATCGTAAGCTCTCAGTTGCAGCTTTGAACGAGCTTATTCACTTGTAGTCACCCCTAACTTACTAAGTAAATTTGTTCGCTACAAAACAACTATAGCAAGAGTTCCCTATTATTTTCTATGTAGTTATGTTGAGTTGTCAACTTTATAACCTAGACCATATTCTCTATCTATAAATAATGGATTAGAGTTTTGGTAGAGGGTGTTAGAATTAATTTCTTGGTTTATTATAAGATTATCTATACTATTGTTGTGGGCTGAAATATACGTGATGGTAGAGTTTGTAAATTCGCGTCTAAGCGTTGTACGAATATTCAACACACAAACAGAAAAGAGAACGAAAACAAGAATTTTTACATGGAAAACCCGGAAGAGGGAAAAAATCACGGGGCCACGCCCAGTTGAAATAATTTCACTAGTGTTTGTTTGAAGTACAAAGATCGATTTGTCTCACAAGTTGAGACAATCAGTTTACAATCAGCTTCTAACGAAGTTACAAAGTTCTACAAAATCTCATCATTTCCCGAAAATCCGGCAGAGTTACGGTGTATTCAGGCGGCGGGAAGAGCTCCGGCGATGGTCGAGGAGGAGAGGATTCTCCCTTTCCCTTTTCTCTTCTTCTTCTTCCCTTCTTGTTCTCTCCCTTCACTTGAGTCCTCTTGCGAAGAATGAGGGCTCTATTTATAATTTTTCTGAAATGGCATGACTTGTAAATAGGTGTGAGATCATGGGCGAATAGGGAGTGGTCGAATGGACGGCCGATATTGAACCCTTCGATCATGCACAATTCGTTGGACATTTGAAGGCCATAATGATGTCGGAATTTGGCGATCTTGGGCTCGTGGATTTGTATCGTCGATCCATTCGATTCGAGTATAAGCTCTTCAAAATCAGAGACCGTTTAGTAACTCAAATTGTGGTTTGAACCTTCCAACAGTGCTTCAGGTCCTTGATTTGGACCCATTTGGGCTCGGATTGGGTTGAATTTGGTGTCATTGGGTTTGTATTTCCGAGACGCTCAGTTTGACTATAAGCTCGCTGAAATCGGAGTTCAGGTGCTCTCGGATTTTATTTTTGAAGTTTACAACTAGCTTTTTGCCTCGAGATTTGTGCCCGATCAAGATAATATTGTGATGACGTATCAACTATAAATGCTTCTTCCCCCTTAAATATGAGAAAAAATCTCTTGCTTCTTTTTTATTCAAGTCATGATTATATCATTATCAAGATTAAGCCTGATAGAATTGTTACAATTTAAAGAAAATTGCTAGCAATATTGCTATGTTTTGAAGAGACCTAGCACAAGAAAATATTCCTTTAAAAAATGGATAAACTATTATTCTTATTTTTTAAATTTTCAGGAATATCGTCCTTTCTTATCAAAAGCCTAACCTATAGTAGATTTTGCAAAATTATATTTTTTTTCAAAAAAAAAAAACTACTGACTAATATTATGCAAGATAAAGAAAGAATTATAATAAATTAATCCTAATAAGAAATTATTTTTACCCCTTTTTCAATGATTGTTTAGATGGCATTGTTATGCTAATATTTGTATGCTTTAGATAATCTAAAGTGATTGGTAATAAAAAAATAAATTTGAAGAGTAGCATGATTAGTAGGCTTTAGATGATTTAATGTGATTGATAAGTGATAACAAATATTAAATTTGGTAAATATCATCCCCTAACATATTGAGTTGAATGATCTCACAAAAGCAAAGTTTAACAAAAAGGGGCGACTGTATAAAACTTCATATGGTATCATCTTTTTATAAAAAATGTAAATACTTTTTTAAACTTTTTAAGTATAATTTACTTTAATTTTCAAATAAGTTAATATAATGTAATGTACTTAAATGGTAGGGGATGGCAGGGGATACCTTATACAGTGAATGTAACATGAATCTTAATATGCCAAAGTTATCATTCGATGATATATATTGAAAGTTAGTTATTAGCAGATGTTAGATGTCAAGTAGCCAAAGGAAATACGTTTAATATGTTTTATCATTCTCCTGGTAGGAACGAAACCAACCATTCAACATAATTGACAACTAACAAAAGCGATTGATGAATATCAAATGTTGGCCACTGGCAGGAGCATAACCAGTCATAATTTTTAGGGGGTCAAACTTATAAGTAATTATTGTCATATATGTCGGGGTCCAAGGGGGAAGCGCCCCCTGGCGAGGTTCAACCTGTTATATTGATTTACTATTTCTATTTGTATTTGGTTCATCATTCCATAACAATAACACATTTACACAATGTATTTAATTATATTGGGGGCAATTGCCTAAAAATCATAATATTTCAACATTTTTAGGTGGGGCAATTTGCCTAAAACCATTGTAATAAAGACTAAAAAATAGATTGAAGATGAACAAATTACCTAAATAATAGTATAATGAAAAAAAAAATTCAGGGGGGGGCAAATTGCTTCCTCTAGCCTCAAAGTGGTTATGCCCCTGGCCACTGGCAAGCAGTTAACATGGAATATTAAAAACTTGACAACCATGGGCAGTCAATTTTGTTATTCTCTTGATATAATGGAAGACACTGGGATTTGGGAAGGTGTGCATTGATGCATATCATTTCCTTGCATTAGGTGAGAATCGATAAGGAAAGTTGGAAGTAAAGCAAATAGTAGGTAGTTCCTCTACTAATATGAGGAGGTAAAGCGAATGAGAATATAGGTGCTTGACATTAGTCAGGATGGGTTTGGCAATGGTTATTAGAAGTGTTAGATGTTTGGAATAGTAGGTGGTTGATATAGTCATTTTCCTGATAAGAGGTGAGACCAATAAACAATAAATACGAGCATCATACATTGGGCACCAATTGATGGGCAATGCTAAATATCAATTAAAAAAGGCAATAAACTTAGTTTTTTCTTCTAATAGGAAGTAAGATCATGTGACTAGGAAGATAGACGTTGGATAGCCAACATCAATAATTAAAAGGTTTTGGCTAATGAGAAACAACAAAAATTTGGTAATGGTGGATGGTTGACTTTATTGCTCTCCAAATATAAAGATAAATAAAAGAACCGTGAATAGTGGTATTGGATATTGATAGCAAATGGATGTTGGAAATTAGCCATTAATATGTGAAGAATATTGAAAGTTTGAGCAATGATTGGTAGTATACTTGATAGAGGGGAGATTGGGGTGAACAATAACTAAAAGATGAATTTGGTTTATGACAAATGTTATTGGTTGATAAGCCATAGTTAGCACTAGATATCGATTGATGGTGGTCGACTGACTTTTTTTGTTCTCCAAATATGGTAAGAGAGTTGACTATCAAGCGTAAACGATGATGGAAGATGAACATTATATATTAATTTTTAGCATACATCAAATAATAGTTGATAATGTCAAAAGTTAGACAATGATAGGTAATTGATTTGATCATTCTCTTTATAAAAAGGTAGATTGAAAGATATCGATTGCAATTTATGAATGTTAGTTGTTGGCAGACATTTAGCAATGATCAATAAGAAACATACAAAGGTAGGAAATAATGGATAATCTAATTGTCTTTCTCTTGATAAGAGGATATATGAAGTGGCTATGAAGATTGATGAGTATCAAATATTGTTTGTTGGCAAACATTGGATTTTGAACATTAGTAGATATTGAGCGATGCTCAATGAGAAGGAAAGTGAAGTCTAGTGATAATGGGCTATTTAGTTTGCCATTATTCTTATATAAGAAGAGATGAGGTGTATATGTTGGGCATTGATTAGCGTTGGATAATAATTGATGGGGAATGTCGAAAGTAATGATAGTCGATGACGAGCTTGATCATTTTCTAGATAGGAAGAGAGATCAAGTGATTAAAATATGTATGTTGATGGCTGATGAATGTTGGTTATTGGTTGTTATCATGAGATGGTCAATTAGGAATAACAAAACATATTGGTGGTTGATTAGCCAATCTTTTATTAGGTAAGGAGACTAAGCTTACATGAATTGGGCAACGATCAATGACATATATTAGATGTTGACCAATGGTTAACATGAAAATCAAAAGTCAGGCAAGTTAGGCAAATAATTTTATTGCTTTCCAAATAGGAGGAGATTAAGCGACTAGCAAATAGACATTATATGTCGTTGCACAATGAGTGCCAAATATTAGT